TACCAGCAGCTCCAGCAGAATCCGTACCAGCAACACCAGCAGAATCCATACCAGCAACACCAGCAGAATCAGTACCAGCAGCTCCAGCAAATTCAGTACCAGCAGCATCAGTCAGAGCAGGAGCAGCTAGAACCTACTCCTCTCAGACATGCAAATTTACAGCAGACAGGGGTTGAACAGAGGAATGCAGTTTATAAGAGACCAGTCCTGTAAGGCATGATATATAGGCTCCATCAATGTGTCAGATACTAAATTTTGACGCCTCCGGACCCCTCGACAGATCGTGTCAGCCTGATGGAACAAGACCTTCTATTTAGTGGATCTGTGGCCAATCTTTACCCGTTGACTGCCAATATCACCACTGCCCTTGTCTCACCATTCACCAAGGCGAGTACAGTGTGGTTAAAATACCCATCAATACATCACATTTTCTTTTTTTTTACAGCTTCACAAGCATTCTTTTAATCTATGGCTCCCAAGTTTCAGCATCTGTGTGCAACTGGGTAAAAGTTGGAACACAGTGTGCCATCTGACATGTTTCTGCACTGCTGCCCTTGTCTCCACTTTCTGCTCTTGCTGACTTGTGATATTTGGTTGAGATACTGGTTGAAAACCCAATTATCTTCCTTACTGGCTCCACCATTGTGTGAGTATCTGAGCTAATAGATGGTCTACCTGTGTCCTGTAATGGGTTAGCTTCAGAGTGAGTTAACTCCTATGGGGGTTGGGCCACCACTGACCACCTGCACCACTTCCTATTAAGACTTAAAAGATCCAATAGATGATTATAGATATAAATTGGAATTGTTTGGCTCAGCATGTTTTAGCTAATCATTATGCAAATGATCATAGCTCACTGGCTGTTGGTACCGAGTCAACATGAGTGAGTGTTGTACTGAATGTAGTTGTCTGATATCTAATTCTGTCTGCAGGTAACTAAGTAGATGCCATCATGGGGCATGTTGAGCCTCATCTGATGCTTCTTCCTCTGCAGCTGTGAGTTGGCAGAAGGCTGGAGGTCCACCTCAAATATTCCACCTCACTCCCAACACAGGTGAATCAGTATGCACTTCTCCTGCAAAGAGGAAAGCATGAGACCTGTATATAAGGGAAGGTATTCAAAGTATGGATGGAAACATTTGCTGAAGGAGAGATATAACATCATATAGGATTGAGAGTGATGTTAGTTGATCAGCAGATGTGCATGAGAACAAGAAGCTGGACAGGTGAGATGGAACTTTTCCTCCAGTTATCAAGGAGTTATAACTTCTTGTGAGCTTTTTCAGTCCCCAGCATTACACACGGGAAGATATCACTAAAATGAAGGGTAGTCTTTGAAGGCCAGTTCAATATGTCAAGTAGTTCTAATCTGTTCCCAACTCTGATTTCACATCTTAAATTTCACGTTTGAAATTCATGATTTCATTGGAAATCTCAGAAAATTTATGCTCGGCTGAATTAGACGTAAACCATCATCAAATATGCAACACAAAAGTCAGAATTTCCCATGTTCTAGGAAGTTAGAGGAAGTCTTCTCTGTCTTTTCCAGCTTGGCTTATGGCTGTCATGGAGCTCTGCTGGATTGGCATCTTTCCATTTGTCTTCTCTATCTTCTTCCATAGAATAGGGAACGTAGTATTCTACATTGACTAAAATATGCTATTTTCAAACAACTAAATATAATCAGAGAAAAAAACAAAAGGAAACAATAGAACAAGAATATTGTTGAAAAGAGAAATGTGTTGCTAATATTTTTTGGTTTGCACTCATCAGGAAAAATGCAAATTTCAAACACAGCAATTTATACTAAAAGAGATGAGGGTGCAGATTGACAGACAAATTAACATTGATTGGCTGAAATGTCATCGTGGAAAAAGCAATGAGGCTCCCCAAGCTCCCAGGCAAATCAAAATGGCACAAGGGTTCACTATCTCCCTTTTGTTCGCTCAGAACCAGTCCTTGAAAATATCAGTTCTAGCAAATGTAAGTGAGCCATGTGACAAGTTCGACTGATTAACTTGAATTAGTTGCTGGGTAGCTATTTCCCATTGCTTTCGCCATTTAATCCTTCATTTCCTGTTTTAATCCTTTATACTTCATCACAGATGTATCAACAATCATTCTCTTTGGGGCATGTATTGAAGGTGTGGTACTCAGAGACAAGTAAGTAGATATTATTCATTGTTGATAAAATAAGCAAAGGAACTGAATGTATTTTCAGCTTCATCCTCTTTGTTGGCACTTTTCCTATTTAATCCCTTCTAAACTGTGCAGCACACCATAGTTATAGATTAAGTCATGACTCCATCATGTTTGACAGGTGCATTCCCCTGTGTGTGATTTTGGAATCAGAGGTAGGGAAGCAATTGCTACAACTGGACCACAAAAGAACAGGCAAAATATAATAGATTCAGAGATAGTAGGAACTGCCGATGCTGGAGAATCTGCGATAACAAGGTGTACAGCTGGATGAACATAGCAGGCCAAGCAGCATCAGAGGAGCAGGAA